TGTCCACAACTTTCTTTCTTCCGGTTCCTTAGTTCTTTGAACTTCCTTCTTTCTTTGAACTTCCTTCTTTCTTTGAACTTCCTTCTTTCATCATCTTTCATTCGAACTTTCTTTCTTTCATCATCTTTCCTTTGAACTTTCTTCCTTTCATCATCTTTCCTTTGAACTTTCTTAAGGGTTTGGTAGTTGAGGAGGATCACAGACTAGACATGGTCTGTAGTTTAACCTTCGGTGCACGTCCATCGTATACTCTGCAACTCTTCTTGCAGCCATCAAACTTCCACATCCTTGCCTGTGATATCTTCGACCTGAAATCACAGCATACTCCAGCCTGACTCTCATCCTCACTCCTTGAGGCTGTCCAACTGGTGGTGCTGGAGGCTGTTCTTGTCTTTGCTGTTGAGCCGGTATACGAACATTCTGATACAACCATTCATTCAACCGATCTTGTACTTCTTGTGGTACTGGTCCAGGATCTGGATCTCCTTCTGGCTCATTGTTGACCACTCGATGGTCATTGCCCCCGCCTGGGCAATTGCTCATCCTCTTCTGCTTGAGCTTCATGCTCTCCTTGATCTTCTCCTCTTGCTTGTTCTTCCTCCTCTTGAGCTTGTTCTTCCTCCTCTTGAGCTTCATGCTCACCTTGACCTTCTTCTTCATCCTCATTGTCTTCCATTGTTGGAGTCCCATACTCTGATGGAGATTGCACTCCATCTGGCTCTTGCTCTGGTTCCTGCACAACGTTAGTTGATGGCTTCTTCCTCCAATCATAGATGCTCACAAACTGCAGGTAGAGAACCATTAGGATCAGGAGCGTGACAACAAACATCCACATACTTGCTGCTTCAACGTAGACGTAAGTCTCCCTGCTAAACTCTTGAGGTTGTCCCCTGGATCCCATAACCATCTGAACCAAACATGTAGTGAACAACAAACGACTGTTCTTGGTTGTCCTTCCAACTTGCTTCAACCTTTTGATCTGCTGATTCAGAGCCGCTGATGACAGATGATCTGCCATCTCCTCTGCTCCCACTGGAACTTCTCTTCCTCTTTCCTTGGTCATTGCTCCAAGCAGGAACAACAAAAACTTTCGCCTTTGAACACTCATCTTCTTAGTGTTCAGATCTGCAATGTTGAGCTTCGTAGGGATTGGCTTAACCTTGAACATCTTTTTCTTTACTCCTCTTTGTAGCCACAGAACCCTGAGGTCTATGTGCTTCAATCCTCCAACTCCGCTTCTGAGACACCATTGTCTCCCTGAGCTGCTATCACTTCTGACCTCCATGTCCACTTCTTCTCTTGTGAGGAACGCCAAGAGCTTCCTTAGTAGCATGCCTTCACTGGCCGCTCCACTGGTCGCCAAAACTTCCGACTCGCAGCTTGACAAAGCGGTAGACTTTTGTGTCCTTGAGTAGCTCATGACCGGTACTCCATCAGCGCATATGATGCTTGCACTTGTTGAATACCTAGCTTCCTTTCCTGAAGCCCAATCTGCATCTGCAAAAACTTCAAGCACATGCTTTCTTTTCTCTTCTTCTTCTTTGTCCTTGGCTTCAAGCTCTTCACCTTGAGGTAGTCGGTACAAAACATCCATCATCGTTGCTCTCTTGCCGCTATACCTAAGGAGAAAACAGAGGCTCTCAGTTCCTCTAACGTACAACAACGTCTGCCGCAAGCACTTCACTGCCATCTCCGTAGGTTTGGCCATGTAGGAAGCCAAACACTTCACACTGTGTTGAAGATCCCATCGGTCTTGGGCAACATATAGCAACGTTCCCAGAGCTGACCTGAACTTCTTAGCTTCTTCAGGCACCAACTCCTTGGTCTCGTCTCGACCTCCCAGTAGTTGGTGTTCTGGGGTCATCTTCTCTTTTCTGTTCCCCAGGTCGTAGAGGCTTCTCAGCTTCTCATAGTGCTTCTTCGACACTGAGACCAAAATTCCTTCATCTACAAATTCGTAGGTCCGCTTGAGGTAGTGTAGCTGTTCTCTTGACCCTCGCTCGCTAGGAAATGGTCCCTCAATTGTTAACTTGAAAACCTTCTTGAGCTCGCTGACTAGCCACTTTGACTGTCCTTTCCTTCCTGCTATCAGCTCATCATCCACATGAACTGAAACCGCAACTGGTCTCACTTTGTGCCTGAGCACCGAGGGAATGCCTTTGAAGGCTTCAAATCCCAACCTTTCAAGGATTGCACCAGGTGCGAAAACCATTGTTCTGCTGCTGCTCTTTGACCTGGCAAGCACTTTTCAACTTTCCACACACAATCTTCATCCAGGCCTAGCAGCCTCTTGATCCAAGGTGAGATCTCAGCGTACATGAGTACCTTCTGGCTCACCTGGAGGAATGCATCCTTGATGTCTAGGCTGGTGAGCTCCCATCCAAAGATCAGATGCAGCGCGATCACCATCCTAACTGCTGCATGCCCTGTGGTCGGACTGAAGGTTTCCTCATTGCTTGCAGCTCCTGCTCTGAACTCCCGGCAGACAATCCTGCATCTTCTCTTCCATTCGCTGTCTCTTTTTCTCCAATCAAACACGGTTGTCAATGTCAGGAACTTTCCTGACTGGTCACATTCCTGCTTTCTCACTTCCTTTACAACTTGCATACTTCTCAACTTGCTTAGCTCATCCTTGGCTGCAACTTGGTCTCTTTCCTCTAGCTCTTCCTCTGAAACTTTTGGAGGCATATCTTCCTCATCTCCTATATCTTCGTCTTCTTCTTCCATCCAATCCTCTTCCTTGAGAATTGGGTCCTCCCAGAGTTCATCCTCATGATAACCTTCATCATCATCTTGATAATCCTGATCCTCTTGCGACACCTTTCCTGCAAACTTAGGCGGAAACAAACTTGCACTCGGTGATGGTGGTCCACTTCCGGAGTCTGACCTGATCGCTTTTCTCACTGGCTCTTCTATGGGTGCATCTGCATCCATCTTACTCTCTTTTGCAGGTCTATCCTCAACATCTCCTTCTTGATCCCTCTTACTTGCTTCCTTCCTTTCTGAAGGCGCTGAAGGTTCTTTGGATGAACTGCGTGTGCTGCTGGCATCCATCAACAGGTCACTAAGCGTGTCATGCTTTGAGCTGTCAGGGTCTGTTGCTGCCTCATCTTGCAGCTCATCTTGTTGGTTTCCATTTTCCACCTGAGGAGGTTCTTCCCTAATCCTTGGAAGCGGTGCCAAATGCCCCGCCTTGACCTTTGGTCCTTTACTGCTCCAGGGTGAACCTGTAAGCGCTAGCACTTCATCTTTCCTCCATGCCGGTTGCGTTCTTCGCACTGACCTAGAGGTGAACACTGCTTCCTTAGTGGCAATGATTTCCATGTCTTTGACATCCTTGCCAACCCAAGTTCCACCTGTCCACAGACTTCTGTTCTTGACTCCGTCTGGACGCATCAGCCCAAACACATACTCCCCAAATGGGAGGATTCTGCCCGTGTAAGGCCTGCCAAATGCAAGCTGATGGGCCGTACTTTGGGTCTCTCCACGCAGGCGATACCTGTTGTACAACCATGATGCATGATGAATGGCCCATGCTCTAAGCACGTGGTCCTCTGGAATTCTTTCTTCAATCTTGCTCTCCACCATCTCAACCAAAGTTAGGCATTGTCTTCTCAAATTCTGGATGCGCCTTTCCACACGTGCTGTCCTGCCTTTATGGTATGGTTTGCCTTCACGCACTGTGGCCTTGTAGCCCATCTTGCGCCGGATTGCCACAACCATGTCAAGGAGTGCCTTAGTAGCCGGTTCCACGTCCATAGCAAAATGGACATTCTCCTGCACATAGTTCAAGTGCAAACTAAACTTGACAACTGCTTCTGCCAGCTTCTTGCTCACTGTCTTGCCTTGCAATGGCAATGCTTGGGCATACCTTGTCCAGGAATCCAGGATCACTAAGGTTGCACATGGTTGGCCCACGAACATGTAGTCCATTTGAACGCAAGGCTCACCAGGATCCTCATACTTCACATCTCCATGGGTTGGCGCATGGTCTTGTTTTGACTTAGCCGCCAAACAAAATTCACACCATGGCTTCATTGGCAAATGTGTGGCCATGTGTTCTTCAATCTCCTCCTTGATTGGTTCTTCACATCCTGGCCTTACCTTTACACCACGCTTTGGCTTTGCCAATCTTTCTGCTATCTCTGTCACCTCATCTTCCTTGCTGTCCTTCATAAAATGAAAGATCTTCAGAAATAGCTTCTTCTTTCCTCCACTAGGACTAAGTCCTAGCTTCACACAAACTTCTCTGAGCTTGTATATTGTGCTTTGCTCTGAGATGGTCTCTCCATCCACTGTGAGAGTCATGCCTGCTTCATATTCCATGTTGGAATGACCTCCTGCTACTCCTTCTGATCTCACTATTCCTTTTGGAACTTGAATGTCCAATTTTCTTGGAACATTTGGTTCTGCTTCTCTGAATGGCTCGAGTAGCTCTTCTTCATTTTGTATTTCCTCCTCCATTTCTTCATCTTCACTTGGCTTGACTTCAGCTTCCCCTTTGAGTTCTTCACACAAACATTGATCCAAGCTCTCAACCTTCCGATGTGCAAAGGTGATCATTGTCGTGGCGAATAGGAGACCCGTCATCTTGAACTCATCACTAACCTTCTCTGACGCTTCTATCACTTCCCAATCACTACCCCCCATGTGGGCAATGGTAGTTCTGTACTTCCATTCTTTAGTTGGTAGGTCCTGGAACTCTGTGCTTTGGCACACAAGAACCGGTGTGCCATTCTCCAGAAAATTCCATTGGTTCTTTATCAACCTCTCCCAGCTGAAGAGCAATTTAACCATAACCTCTCTTACTTTCTGAATGCTTCTCACTTCCGCAGTCACCATCAAGCTGTTTTTGTGAAACTCCACCGGAATCACTGCCTTACCATCTGGCGATATCAGGCCCCCTGCCTTTCCATTGTTGTTATTGCCCCCACTGGGCTCCCAGGAACCCCAGGTTCCTTGTGACTGAAACTTCCAGCCATTTCTCATCAATCTCCCTAGTGACAATAGAACGTGAGAGGAATCTGAAAGAATGAAATCCTCTTCAATCACACAACCACTATCTGCGAAGTAAAGCTGGGCTCGTCGCATACCTTGGACACGCATGGTCCCACCTTGCGCATCATGAATGCGGAGGGTTCTTGGTGGTTTGACTTCATAGCCACATTCTGCCAAACCCTGTGGCAGAAGACTGACATCTGCACCTGAATCAAGGATGACAGAGTGCAGCCTTGCGTCCAACGCTTGTACCACCCTAACTGACATGAGCTCATCTTCTTGATCCATCTTGACATACCACTCATAAAGAGGGTCACTCTTCCAATCCTGAACTTCTTCATCAGAATCGTCTTCCCCTATGACATAGTGTCCTCTGGAGCTCTCCGCATGCTCTTCAGAACCTTCTGCATGTGACACATTGATGCAGTACACACAAATCCTTCTTATATACCAACCTTCCAAACTTTCTTGATCATCTTCTTCATCACTACCAACATAGTGAATCTCCAGCTCAGATGGAGGGGTCACTGGCATGTGATAGAAACTTGGCCTCATCATCTCACCAACTCTTCTCACTCGGTACTGAGACGCTGACTGAGAGGGTGTCATAGTCAGGGTAGCCGTGCTCTCTGAAGGTGCCTGAGTGGTGACCTCTGATCCTGACACTTCTCTCACATTCCGCCGGTTGGGGCATTCATTTCCCCAATGTCCTGATTGCTTGCAAAACCTACAAACGTCTCGACCAAGCCTTGCTTTGCCACCTTTGTCTTTTCCACCTTTCTTTCCTCCTGACTTTCCACCTTTACCCTTACTTCCTTTCTTGCCACCTTTGTTTCCAAACTTCTTTCCTTTGCTCTTTCCATGTCCTTTGTGTCCTTTTCCTCTACCATAACCTCTGCCAAAGGCCTTTCCTGCTGCATAGCTTGACCAAGTTCCCCAATACCCTTTTCCTTTTCCTCCTTCATGTCCTTTTCCTTTATGATCTTTTCCTGATGTAACTTGATCCAGCTCCATTGGGGCTGGTCCTTGATCTGAACTTGCTGCTCCACCACTTGTTGTAGCAGACGGCAGAGCATTCTGTTTCAACACGGTGTTGTAATCCCAAGTCTTGCTGGCTTTCTCATAGTTCAGAATAGCTTGCTTAACCGACCCATAATTGGCTGAGCTTGGCAAACTGACTGTGAGGTGCTCTCGAATTGTCTTTGGTGCACAACGTAGTAAAACTCCCATGAGAAGGTCCCGGTCATAGGTTTTACCAGCACTCAACTCATAATCACGCACCAAATTCTCCAACGCACCAATCTGCTCAACCATGGGCTTGGCACCATCAAAACCAGGGTACATGGCAATGGCTTGGCTCAATGTCAAAGACCGCTGTTTTGTTGAAGGCTGAAACTCCCACAGCAAACTTTGCCACAATCTGAAACCACATCTTTCATCCCCACATAGTTTCTGGAAAACTGTAAAGCACTTCCACGCAAGTAGCTGGTGAGGATTGAGTAGAGCTTGCCACTCAACTCCCTGTCTGCTTGTGTTGCACCGGACATATCGATTGCTTCATTTCCCAATTGTTCAATCATTTGTAGGTGGTCACCAAAGCGGGAATCCGCAAAGCATATCCAGTTTATGAAGTTATGCTTCCAGTTTGTAAAACTTGCAAAATCAATTCCATCCCATGTATCGGGATTCTTCAAACTCTTGCTGGCTGACTCAAGTCTTCTTGTAATATCTGACTCCTGGTGGGTGCTGCTGCTGCTGCTTTGCTCCAACCTTGCAAGTGTCTGCATGCCTACCTGTGTTGCTGTTGTAAGTGCTGTGAGTACACCTTGCAGGTCTGCTTGCCCATTCTGCATCGCTGCTACTAGTGGAGGTTGGTGTTGTTGTAGTAGCAGGAACGCCCACAGGGGAACTTTTCTCTCACGGCACTGATGTAACAGACTTCGCCTATTCCTGTGCCTACTCACTCTGCTCAAGCGCCTCCGAGGTAACATGCACTTGCAACGCTGCTGACATGTCTGTACCCAACTGACAGGACTGATTGCATGTGCTGCACTTGCAAAACCAATTGCTGCAGCCACCAGACCTGAGACATTAGCGAGATACACCACATACATATAATCTAGGATAGCCTTGTCGGTGGTGATGTCGTTCATATCCTTTTCTTCCATAGTCTTGCCAACAACGAGGTCCTGATATATACTTTCCATAGCCTTGTCGGTGGTGATGTCGTTCATATCCTTTTCTTTCATAGTCTTGTCAACAACGACGTCGGTCTTCTTTCTTATATTCTCCTCCAGGTAGTCGTCCTTGTAATCACTTTCTTTCATAGCCGTGTCGACGTTGTAGACCTTAGAGCTTCCTTCTTTCTTCTTCTCACCATCCTCTTTCATTCTTCCAATCTTTCCAGTTGCTCCACTCTCTGTAGTCATACCACTCTTGATCATCTCGTTGGTGCCATGGAGCATCGGGGTAGATCGTTCTTGACCTGGCCTTTGCCTTGGTCTTGGGTGGCTCCTTGCCCTTGGGCATTGCTTTTGCAGGCAGGTCCTTTGCCTTGGGCAGCTCCTTCGGAGGAGCTTTGGTACTGGCCTTCTTTGGAGGCTCCTTTGCTGACTCCCTTTTCGCAGGTGGCGGTCCAGCTCTCCATGGGGTAGTCCTGGTTGTTTTTGGAGCCGCTGCAGGATCCTTTCCTTTTGGAACCACAGCATCTTTTGCCTTAGCCACTGGCTCCTTTGCTTTGGCCACTGGTTCCTCTGCTTTGCTTTGCTTTTGCTTTCTTTGGTGCTTTGGCTTTGATTTTGGGGTTGGCTTTGACTTTGGCCAACTCTTGCTGCAACAACCCTGCACGGGCTGACTTGGCCTTTGCTGCCATGTCTTGCAGCTCCTGTATCCTCCGTAGCATAACGTCACGTTGCGGTGTCCTTGTAGGTCGGATCTTCTTGGTCCTGCTTGTAGGCTTGACCCTTTGCCGGTCCATAAGGGCCAACATCCTCTTTGTCCCCCTGGCTGGGACATCTCTGCTTCCACTTGGCTCCTCTCTTTCATCTTCTTCATCCTTTTCAAGCTCTTCACTTTCCACACGCCCGTCCTCCAGGGCCAGCTGCTCTTCCTTTTTCCTTCTCTTTCTTTCTTCTTTTCCTTCCATTTCTTGCAGGTTCCTGTGCCAAAGCTCTTCTTCCTCTGACATTGTCCTTTCGAACAACTGCTCTTCACTGCTCCTCCTGCTTTCTCTTTCACTCTCCACTCTTTGGGCTCGTCTTTGCTTGTACTTGGGTGTAGGTAGGCCCTTTGCTTCATCCCCCATTGTGAGGGCTGGGTAGCTGAACTCAAATCCAGCTCCTTCTTCCAAACATTCATCACTGGTCCGCGACTCACTCTCACTGAGCTCCACTCCGTGAGGCAAACGATCGCCATAACCATCCACATCTTTGAAACCATCGCTCATCTACTGGGCTTCCCTTTACACAAACCACAGCAAACTAGCGTTTTCCAGCCTGGGCCCCTGAACAGAAACCCAACACAAACCACACACCCTCAAACGTGTCTCGAATCACCTGGACGGCCAGATGCTCCGCTACCATGAAAAACTCACACCTATTTTCAAAGTCCTTGAGAGGCGCTGCGAGGTAACACATAATTCCACATGCTCATGCATGAAAATCCATGTTAGACTTTCACTTACAAATTGGGTTTGTACATGCTAGAAAATCTTTACACTTCAGCAATGGCGTAATCGTTCCAAATGCACTGGGGTTAGTTGACTCAATAGGTGAGGGCTCGTCATCAGGACGGACCAAATTGGTCCTCTTGGTATGAACCGTCCTAATCCAACACATAGGTAACTGAAGCCAATAGTCAGTAGTCCTCTGCTGTCCAGCCAATGGTTCAGGAGTGTAAAAGAGCCGCACCAATTCGTCCTTCATGGAATGGTTGAACTCCTTAATGGATCGAATACGGTTCAAAATGGACCTTTCTGTTTCTTCAATGACCATCTTGCTCTGAATGGACCTTTCTGTTTTTTCAATGACCATCTTGCTCTCGGTCCCTCGGCTCTTGGAATCTCCTGACAATGTTTTGGGATGTGGTTTTGCCAGGCAATGATGCTGGTGGAGGATCTGGTGTTTTCAATGTCGCCGGTTTGGCTTTTGATGTGGCAATTTGCTGCGCCGGGCTAGGATTCATCTTCTTTCGCAATCTTCTTTTGTGGGAGGAATCCACCTTAGGAGCAGCAATGGAGGTGCCATCAGACGCCAATGGCGTCATCTCAAACTCTGTCTTACCAGTCCAATCCTTTGTGCCTTCACATGGATTTGGCAATGTCCTGTAATCATTGTCACAATCTTAGAAGTGCCATCCTTGAACGACATGGTAGTAATGCGCTTTCCTGTCAATTTGTCAACAGGAAGCTCACCTCTAAGAAGGTTGAAATTGCCAAACATGGTTTGTCTGACCTTAACGTGATGTCTGATCAATCGATGTGAACTCTCAATGACTCCCCAATAGTCCATACGCTTCTTTTGCTGATCCGGTTTAATTGTCTGTTGCGCAGCTGCAATCAATGCTGAAATCGTTGACAAATGATCATACTGAGAATCCTCAACACAATCAGTGATTCCTCTCAACTCTGACTGTAGTGAGGAAAGATCAATGTCATCCATCAGCGCAATCTCAAGCTCATTCCTTGGTCCTGAATAGCTAGAGTACGTAATGACAGCTGGTGTCAGGTAGACCAATGCGCCTTGCCTGACAACAATGGGGACTGTCCTATTGGTTGGAGTCATCAATGCCATGAAGTTCTTGCTCATAATAGTCCAAAAAACCTTACAACAAGAATCTAGACAAACTAACCACTGGGAAAGGAATGTTGTTGCAAACATAGAACTGAACACACAACGAATGACCATTACAATCAAGCTCAATCACGCACTTGCCAAGAATGTCCAATGTCTTGCCTGAAATGCTCCTCAAGGCAGGACAATCATCACCTACGGGAAGCAATGGGTAATCCTTAGCAAACCAATCCGGCCAACGATTTGCAGAAGCACCACTGTCAAACAATATCCAAGTCTTGTCAACAACGCCGCTTTGCACGTGAAACTCTGATCCAATGGCTCTTGCGCAGGTTCACCATCAGAACTACTGCTGCTACTGCTGTCAATGTTGTCTAGACCGTCTCCAATGCCACCAGCAAACTCTTCTGATTGAGGACAATGAGGAACACTGGAGGACGATGTACCAACAAGCATCAAAGCTCCAACAAACAATCTGCCCGTCAATCCTGGTCTCGCAGTCCGAGCGCCAATGCCTCTCCTTGACCGACCTGAGTCAATGAGTGGGTTAGGCGACGTAGATGAGGACAAATCCTGCTGACATTCACCTGAGCGATCAATGACCTCAGTGGGCACCGCTGCTGCGGTTGTAGCTGGCTTGGTTTCTTGAACCTCAGTAATCTGAACACTACTTGGCAATGTAGATGGATCAGTTGATGAGACTGACTGATATGGCCAAGTTCAATCTTCACCTGGCCAATCAAT